CACACACACACACACACACACACACACACACACACACACACACACGCACACACACACACTGCGCGCGCGCGCGCCCGCGTTCACGCATGAATCCCCCCTTGTAGTTCTAACAGGTGAAACCTGCTGAAGCAAAACCTCAGTGAACTTGATGAATTCAATAATAATCCTATTGTTGTTGCTTTATCTGTCTGCAAAGTTGACAATATCGCTTTATGGCCCATAGTTCGTAACCTGATTTGAGAGAAAGAGTTCGACAACTTTATAAGGGATGTAATGTAATATCTTTGATGATGTCCATCGTTTCCATAAATCTGACAACTACAGGCATGCAACATGACTTAAGCATTAGGCACGCAACATGACACGCAACATCACTTAAGCATTAGGCACGCAACATGACACACAACATGACTTTAACCACGAGGCACTCATGGCTGCAGCGTTAGTATTAGGATTGTTGTTGTTTTCAAATCCCTTTAGCTGCGAGCATTTTGCTCTCGGCAGCGCAATGCCCCCCTCAAGCCTCAAGTAATCATGGCACATGTCCTTGTCATCTGGTCAACGCCAGAGTAGAGCAGGGTTTGTAAGTCTGTTGGTGTGTGTAGGAGCCTGCGTCGAAGAACTGCCAGATTTGGGCAGTGAAGGAGAAGATATGTTCAACGGTCTCCCCGTGGTAGTCACAGAGTCTGCAATGGGGTTCCCACTTCCCACATGGGGTTAATTCAGTTTATGTGTAGTATTAGGATAATTTGTTGTATTCACTGACAAAACAGAACTGTAGACATAACCAGGGCATACTGTGCAGAAATCCATTTCCTTTTTAGCAACGATTAGATCTAGGTCTGGGCCTATAATTGGCGTTTGATGGCCTGTGGAGCAGACAATTTTATTGTGATGGCTGGTTGGACCGCACTCTCGTCTGGTCTAGTGTTTTGTTTTGTTTTGTTTTGCCTTGTTTTACCGTTGATTTTCTTGTCTAATTGCTTTTCTGGTGAAATATGAATGGCCATTACTGTAGAACGATTATTGTAATGATTACTCGGCAGGAGGTAATTTTCTTTATGGCTCTGATGAAGGGAACTTTATATATATAGGCACCAGGTTATAAAAATCTTGATTTCAGTAAGATGGTTCGAAATGTGCCGGCGCTCGAATGACCTTATGCAGTTGTGAGCGTCGTAAAACACTGACCAAAAAAAATGTACCGCAACGTTGCATGTGTACGACTTAGTCTGCTGCTGATCGGACAGGTGTACCCGCTTCATCCCTCAAGCGGTTCCTTTGAATTCCCCC